GGGCATCCTGAGAGGAAGCTCTGAGAGTTTTCTAACTGTCAATATAAAATCGAAATGATGATAATTTCTATGACTCATTTGGTGCCACGTTGCCACTGAAACGTTGCCGTTCTCAGTAAACCATTTATCTGGAAATCGGTTAAAAGTTCACCAGATTTGGTGCGTGAATTAATAAAGCAACATATGCCTCAATAGACGTGTACTGTTTCCGTCCGCTTGGTCTGACCCAAGATGGCCGCTCTGTGTATGGTTTTCTTCCTGGTTGCAGCTAGTAACGTTAGCAACACATTCAGCTCACCTTTGCTTTTTAGTGTAAAGGAAAGTTACAGTAGTTCAGGACAGAAGTTAATGCACAAAATTTCCTGATCCAAACAAAATTTATTCAAAAAGCAAAATTACTTGAAAATCCAGCATGTTTATGAGTAAATGGAAAGCATTTTATGATTAAGAACTTATATACAGTAAAAAAAAAAAAGATGCCAGTTTGTCTAAAGTGTATAATGCTCAGCACATAGATTGAAAGCTGTTGGTAGTCTAGAAGACAAAATCTATAACTGCAGCCTCTTTGCTGCAGAACAGGGTTTTTTATTCTTTGTTGATCATTGATTTTCCTGATTTAAATCCTTTTCTTTCTGCAGGATTTTTCATATGACGACTCAAAAGTGGAGTTTAACGTGGACGCCCCTAATGGCGTGGTGATGGAGGGCTACTTGTTCAAAAGGGCTAGCAATGCCTTCAAGACCTGGAACAGGTAAGCGCCATGACTAAAACTGAAAACCGTGTTGGATCAACTTCATTTAAAGGTGGACTTTGGTTGCACACAGACCCTGTTTGTTGTGTAAATTTAAAATTAATTGGTGGTTTCACCTCAACACAACTTGATCACTTCCTTATGTAACCATTTGATCAATAAAAACTCAGAGGTGAGGGTTTAGGCGATAGATGACATTTTTATGGTTTGATCCCACAGCCTGTGGCTTATTGTAGGAGTCTCCTAACCCTGTAGATTTCCATGCTGTAAAAGTAGCGTTGTTGTATGTAGAGAGATGGTAGGTTTAGGGGTGTTAATCACATCCATCATGGCGATTCGATTCAGTATCGATTTTCTGACCCAAAGATTCGATTATTTTCGATATTCAAGAATACACCACGATACGAATCGATTCGATTCATTGGTTCATTTTTTTTTTTTTTACTTACAGGCTAGACAATTTTTTCACTTTTGAATTTTATCAATGAAAGCTGTAATATCGTTATGCATTTAATTTGAGAAACAACAGCAAATAACAGAGGTAGAAAAGTTGTACTCCGTAATGCCCCTGTGTTATAGATTGTGAAAGGCTTTGCATCAAAAAATAAAATAAAAAAAATAAAACTTCTCTTTTTACTGTTACAGGCGGTGGTTCTCCATTCAGAACAATCAGCTGGTCTATCAGAAGAAGTTGAAGGCAAGTGCTTATTTATTTAACCCTTAGCAAAAGTAGTATACTTCAAGTTAATTTTATTAAGTATATATGATAATAAGGATAAGTTTAGCAAGTATATTAGGAACCATCTAGTGTTCTTCAAAATATACTCATTTAATATTTTTGGGACTAAATTAAAGCATTCTTGTTACAAAAGGTATACTTAAAGCATACTGGTACATGGTCAAATCAAATATTCAAGTATGCAGCAAGTACACTCATCGTTATACTACTAGTGTAAAAATTTTAGTTTATTGAAGTATATTTGAAGTATAATACACTTGTACATTTCTTATTCCATACTTCAGTCAATATATTTTAAGTATCAGTGCTTTGTGGCATAATTAAGTAAAATTATACAAATACGTTTCTGTATTTAAGTATAAGGTTTAGTAATGGTGTTAAAATCCTTAGTTTTGATTTATATTTATACTTTTTTGTATAAGTTTACTCCTCTATTGTGTTGTTATATATGTTAAATATATATATATATATATAGATGAAAAATACATTATAACAAGGTAAAAATCAAGTAAACAGACTTACCTTTAGTTTATGCCAAGGGACGCCATCAGTTCTCTCTGTAAAAGGTAAAATTTAAAGTTTTGAAGTATTTATTTTTTCTGAAATCTGTGTCTGATGCTGTGGAGAGAAATTCTAATATTCTTTCAGATAAAATATTGAGATGCAAGCAATTGTTTTGTGAGTTGAGGATTAGTGGATCTCGGTTAAGATCCTGGTAAAGATAAAGGGAATATCTGAGCTGTTGGGAATCTTCTGAAATTCATTTTAACTGACGAAAAGCTCATCACTTGTTAGGTAGACGGAAATTTCCTTTTGCAGAAAGAATCAGGTATATGCAGCTGCTGTTTCAGGTAGACAAATATAACACTTTTGTCATTTTTTTGTGAACAGGATGTACTTACGGTGGTAGTAGAGGATCTCCGATTGTGTTCTGTAAAACCATATGAGGACATCGAGAGGAGGTTCTGCTTTGAGGTCGTCTCCCCCTTCAAGTAAGGCATTCACACTGAAATCTCTAAGCTTTGATTTGTTTAAAGATGGCACCATTTAGTGAAAGAATTCCCTAGTTTCTGGCCTGTGCTGGAAACAATTATCTGCCAGGTAAATATCCAAGTTAACATGAGTCAGTAAAAAAACAAACTAAATGACTTCCTTAGAGCTTTGTAGTATCACATGTCAGACCTCTAGCTGGCCAGCAGCACTGGAAATCCTAGCAGAAAGCTCTCTGCTGCAGGCCAACCTGTGGGGGATTTCTCATTGCCATCAATAGCTGGGAGTGAATATAAAGAGTTTTTAAGGTTTGTGGTAAAAACTGCAAAGTTTTGCAGGTTTTACAGGGTTTCTGCAGGTCATTAAAAACCATTAAAAGTCATTAAATTGTAATTTTTAAAATTAAGGCCTTAATTGGCATTAAAATTCATTAAATTTGATTATCGTGGCATTTAAAATGCTTTATTAAAAAAAAAATTAATAAAAACAATTTTGTCAGATATTAATATATTGCGATATGTTTGCGCAGAACTGTCTCTGGTTGATCGTAAAGCCGTATGTTTGGGAAAAAAGCTCGAGGCGGAGAAAAAGTTAGAGAATTGGGAAATGCAAATTTTAACAAAAGGTTGACCTTTGATGACCTCTAGAAACATCTCTTTATATCTTTAAAATGAAAGCGGCACAAACGAAAATTTTTGCTGCACAAACGTTGCACAAACGTTTGACACCAATTTTGTCTAATTTGAAGAAGGTGAGGGGGCTGGTTGACCTTTTGACCTTTACATTTTCATTAATATCTTCAAAGCCAAAGCAGCACAAACGACAATTTTTGCTGCACAAACCAGCTCAAACGGAGCCGAGTTAATTGACACCCATTTCGTCTGATTTGTAGAAGGTGGGGGGGCTGATTGACCTTTGATGACCTCTAGAAATATTTCTTTATATCTTTAATACGATAGCGGCACAAACAAAAATTTTTGCTGCACAAACCAGCACAAATGTAGCACAAACGTTTTACACTAATTTTGTCTGATTTGAACAAGGTGGGGGGACCAACTTCACTCAGGTCATTAAAATTATTTCTAAGAGCATTAGAAGAGCATTAAAAAGCATTAGATAAGAGTTACTCATTCCTGTATAAACCCTGTTTTAACACTTCTAGTTAATGTGGGTATTTATAAACTCTTCCGCTAGCCTGACGTAGTCCTACTCAATTCTAGTCAGAATATGAGTCTGATGCTGCTCCATAGAGCTGTGATTATGGGGCGTGTTTCGAACGAACCAGGAAAAAAAATGCCTCTGCACTCAATTGGATAGACCTTCAACCAATATGAGCAACGGAGTGCGTGACGTATG